GTCCAACACTTGACAGTGCCATCAGTGGCCATTCTTGTGCCAGGAGAATGAGAAAAACAATTTTCCATCTTAAAAACCTGTCTTGGCTTTTATGTGCAGCTAAAAAAAGAGATTTATGATTTGAAACCTCCCAAGAAAATCTCCCAGACACGCCAAACATCCCCACAGCTAATTTTCTCTCTGTAACTTTTTAATTTTCTCCCAACCATATGTCTCCAATTGTGTGAGTTAATATTATTCATAAATGCAGCACAAATAGGAATAAGACCAATTACAGCAAAATACTCCCCATCTTTTTAATCTCTGAGGTTATGGAGAGGCTGTTCTCTTGCAGATTTAACATCTCCCCAGAAATCACCCGGGCTGCAGCGTTTGACTCCTGCCCTGTGCTTCTTGTCAAGTTTGCAGGATTTTGCCAACAAATTAACGAGGGGAGAGTTCCAGGGAATGTTGATGAGCCACAGGGAATCTGCCATTTGGCTTCAAAGCCTTTGCAACGTGCTCTGGGAGGGGCTGGGGTGTGGAAGGATCCAGCTCAGCATTCCCGGTCTCTCCCTGGCACGGCCCTTCCCCGCTGCTGTGTCGGGAATGTGGGAATTGCTCTGGGCTGGGGGTTCTCTTCCAGAGCCAAAATCACACGGGATTTCTGAGGCCTGTCCAGAAATGCTGGATGGTTCCATGGGGTACCTGTTACATCTCGTGTGGGGTCACCAGAGCACCACATCACTTGTGTGGCACCAGAGCATCCATCTCCTCTGGAATCCCCATTCCCACCCTGGCTGGGAGGAGGAGAGGCACAAACTGAGAGGGATATTCCCCCCCCTCTGGCTCCCTGCCAAGCCCCTGCAGCAGAGCAGCTTCAGAGGCAAAAACTGGCTCCTGAATTTTTGAATACAGTGGCCCTTTTGAATATTTCCCAATACGCATTCCCAGGATGCTGGAAAGGGTATCACCAATTTTCCATAAAGATTTCCTTTGTTTTGTTGTTCTTTTACTTTCCCACCCCAGCTCTTGCTCAGAACCTGAAGGTTCCCATCCAAGCTTTGAGGTAGTTTGGTTTGAAATGGGAAATATCCGTGTCTGCTCCGATAAACCAGAGTGAATTCCTCATGGAGAGCCCGGGCTTGAAGAGGAACTTTCATCTCTCCTCCCTCTCCAGCTCTGGGTCTTTGCAGCTGGAGTTTTCATTTGAACTCCTGTTCCCTCCCAGCCATTTGGATCCTTTTTTTCCTCTGAGTGTGGCTGAAGTGACGGGGTTTAGTCAGGGAATGTTCAGCCACCTCTGTGGAGACCTGTGGAACAGCCAGGACTGTTGTAGGGAGCTCAGACCTTCCCTGGATCCCACCCTCTGGGACAGTTTTGGTCAGTGATATCAGAGCAAAATGAGGCTGTGGACTAAAATGGATGCTCATACTTTAGGTTAGATTCCCACTGCTAATTCCTTGATTTCATAGGAAAAGAGAATCATGGAACAAATTGGGTTGGAAGGGACCTCAAAGCCCATCCCATCCCACCCCCTGCCATGGGCAGGGACACCTCCCACCAGCCCAGGCTGCTGCAAGCCCCGTCCAACCCGGCCTTGGACACTTGCAGGGATCCAGGGGCAGCCACAGCTTCTCTGGGATATCCATTCCAGTCCCTCCCCACCCTCCCAGGGAAGGTAAAGTCTGATCCCATCCCCTCTCAGAAGGGTCTGAGCTGACACTGTTCTGGTCCTGGTGTCTCCATCCCTGCATTCCCATCCCTGCATCCCTGCTCTCCTGGTGCTCCTCTCCAGGACACTGCTCCTCTCTGCTATTTATTTTCCTTCTCCTTTCAAAGTGTGTCCTTTCTGCTCCCTCTTTTCTCATCTGGGCTGGATTAGAAATGCTCTGTTTGCTGCTCAATTAAAGTGCCCTCTCAGACACGGCAAAGTTCAAACAGTTTTAGCTTTTGCCTAAAATATATCTGTCTGGATTTAATGGGCTTTGCAGGCTCCACTTTCAAAGTGGTTATTAATGGGATTTGGACAAGGAACTCTTGCTTTGTGCTATTAAAATAATACAAGAAATCCTTCCATTGGCATTTAATGTCATCGACTCAGGCATGTCAAGGGTGGCACACAAAGGCTTGGCCTGTCTGTGCTGGGGCTGCAGCACAGCTGGGAGATTGCACCCAGCCTGACAAATAACTGAAATCAGTGGCTTTTCCTGCCTTTAATGCTGTTGCTGGTGTCATTGTTCCCTGGAGGATGTGTCTGTGGCAAAGCTCCACTGAGGTCTGAGAGAGGATAAACTTGGCAGCTGGGGCTGAGCCTGAAGCAGGACCAGGAGGGAGGTGGGACAGACCCTCAGAGCACCTGCAAGGCAATTCCTGTGGCTCCACAGGACCTGGGCCACGGAAGAACATAGGGAATGGGGCAGGGATCCACGTCAGGATGTGAGGGGAAACCTTAAGAAGCCTTTTCTAGATTCCCAACTTTGGAGTGCCCAGCCCTGGAGGTGTCCCAGGAAGGCCTGGCCGTGGCACTCAGTGCTCTGGGCTGGGGGACGAGGTGGGCATCGGGCACAGGGGGATCCATGGGCTGGGAGGGCTTTGCCAGCCTCAGGGATCCTGGGATTCTGTACTGTGCTGGTGAAGAGCCCAGATCCTGGGGCTCCCTCCCAGGAGGGGATGACAGGCTGTGTGTCCCACTCACGGGTGTCCAGTGAGCCCAGTTCACCCAGACTCTACAAAGCAGGGGAGCAGTTACAATGCAGAATTCCTTCTATTCATGAGGAGAGCCCACTGCCGTGGTCCTGAGTGAGGGGCAGCAGTTGTGCTCTGCTCACCTGCATCTGCTCCATCCCTCCTGCCTCTCACAGCTCATTAAAACCTGGGGCCTCCACAAGACAGCAGCAGCAAATTTAGGAACTGCACATTGTTCCGAGCCCAGCCCTAAGAGCACCTTCCTGAGAAATGACAGGCAGGAATAAACGTCCCTCGGGATGATTTATCCCCCGGATTAGGCTCAGCTTGTGAAAATACACCGAGTTTAAATCACTGTCAACCTTGAAACAACAGCAGAGGAGGTGCTGACCCGGGGAAGCAGCAAACAAACAACTGTGTTCCCAGTAGATTGAACTGCAAGCTGGCTTCAGAAATGAAATCTGGGGCTTTAATGCTGTCTGCCTGAAAATCAAATGGGAAAAGGGAGTGGTGGTGGCATCTCCCAGTTACAAGTCAAACCAGGGGGATAAGAAACCATAAACTGCCCAAAGACTTGAAGGGGAGTTGCACCAGGAACTGGTGATGAACTGCTCCTGCCTGGGAAGTGCAGGGAGCTGGGAGCTGAAGCAGTGCTGGGCTGGGCAGTGCCAGTTGGCAGCTGCACTCTGGGATCTCAGAGCTCTTTTCCAGCCTGAATGACTGTGATCCTGCTTCCCAGGGCTGCTCCAGGCAGAGTGTGGACTCTGGTTGCCATGGCAATGCCCTGACCCTCTCTCCCCAGGGCAGTGCCTAATTAGGGCAGTCCTGCTTTGGGTGCCTGGGTCATGCCCCATGTCCCTTCAGGGGTGCTGGGTCATCCCTGCAGTTCATTATCAGCATTTTTCAACTGTCCCTGATTTGTGGCCAGCTGTGGCCTGGACACGCAGCTCCCTGGCCTGAAGTTTTCTGGGTGTTTTGCCTTCTGTGGAAAAAAATGAATCAACCCCCCAGCTCTCAACCTTCCTGCACTAATTCCCGTGTGCAGACTGTGGCAGTGCTGGGGGACCCTGGCATTTGAGGGGGTGTGGCTCTAGGGGTGGGAAAGGGTCCGAGCTCCCCACAGGGATTTGGGTGGTGGCATTTTGGCAGGGGGTTGGAACTAGGTGGTTTTTAAGGTGCCTTCCAACCCCAATCCTTCCATGTTATGATAGGAATCAATACTCATCCTGTTCCCCCCTCTGCCATGGGCAGGGACACCTTCCACTAGACCAAGGCTGCTCACAGTAACCTCATTTTTTCCCCCTCCCAAGCAATAAAAGCAGGAATGAGACATCCAGGAGGAGCTGAGGACGTGGAAGGGGTGGTGTAAATTCATGGCATGTTGTTCTGGGGGCCAGGATTTATTTCTGATCAGCTTATCCTTCTTTTGTTTTCCTCCAGCTGCTCTAGGAGGACAATCCAGTTCCACCAGGAACACCGAGGGACACGGGATGTCACAGCAGCAGCAGCAGGACCCACTCCAGCCCCACTGGATTTTGGCTTCCTGGTTGTCCTGGCTCTTGGAAAACCTTTCAGTCACCCCATGGCACACCTGGCTCCTGGGAAATGCTCTGGATGGATGGATGCACTGCTGCAGTGGGGGGGGGAATCACAGGCAGGAATAAAGGCAAAAGAAGGGAAGTCTTTCTCTGGGAATCCCCATCCCTGGAAGTGTCCAAGGCCAGGCTGGAAGGGGCCTGGAGCAGCCTGGGCTAGTGGAAGGTGTCCCTGCCCATGGCAGGGGGGGGGATGAGATGATCTTTAAGGTCTCTTCCAACCCAAAGCAGTCTCTGATCCTTCAGGGAAAGGCTGGAAAAACAATCCATGATTTTATTTCCCCTCCCATTCCAGCTGCTGTCCCACCTCACCCCAGGCCTCGTGTTCTTATTTTAAAGAATTAAAGCCCCACTGATCTGAACAAGGTCAAGTGTTCCTTTGCCATCTCCCAAGCCACAGTCCCACCTCTACTCCTGAAACGGCTCCATTTGCATAAATTCGCCTGCAAACAATTAAAGTTAATTAAGATAATTTATCACTTGAAAGTAAAGCGTTTTATCAGCAGGTATCAGCCTGTAAAGCAAACAAAGAACCAGTTGTAGGGGAATAGCTGGGGCCTTATTACCCTGTTAGACACGAAGTGACAAAACCCGGCTCGTTATGACGCTTTGTCGGGTCTGGGTGCTTTGTTTGCAAAGTAATTAACTGCAATTAGCTAATCATCCTCTGTAGGAGCTGCAGGTGTGACTCTGCACTAGCACGGACTCATTTACACCTTGGCTGCCTTCCCACACACAAACTGGGAGACACGAGTTTTGGGAGCAGCCCGAAGTTTTTGTCTGTGGGCACAAATGGGACATTGGGAAGAGCTTTGAGGGACAGAATGGATCTGGTGGGTGTTCCTTGGGAAGCTCCTCTCCACTGCTTCCAGCGGGGTTTATTGCATCCTGATATCCAGTGTCTGCAGGGACTGTAAAAATAGTGCACTTTGGGGAAAAAATACCCATTAGCATTGCTCAAAGTCCATCCAACCTGGCCTTGAGCAATTCCAGGGATGGGGCATCTCCCAGTTCCACTGGGATCAACTCCCCTCATCAGCAAACACAAAACTTGTTTCATCAAATTCTGACCCCAGCAATAACAGAGACCACATTTAACTTGGAATTTGTGGGATGAGTTAATCTGAGCACTCCCAGAGGCATTGACCCCTCAGGGTAAAAAACCAACTTCACATGCCCCAAAACCACTCCCAGGCAACCAGGAATGGTCATTTTTTAAAAAATTCATTTAAAAAATTCCTGGCAGAGCCATAGGCTCTCCTGGCACGGGAGATCAGTGGCTTCTCAATAGGGCACTCTGGAATTCCAGCCCCTCCCGACCCACAGGAGGCCCCTGAGTGTGGATTATTGTCCTTGTACCTTTGTTTCCCCACCTGCTGAATTGGGATGGCCCCTTTTTACTGGTGATTTTCCCTTTGTTTTCCTTTCCCCAGGCCCTCCCTCTTGCTGGGAATTCTGAGCACTGACAAGGATTTTCACCCTGAAAAGGGAAGTGTGTTCCAAGAGTCCCCACAGAACACACCCACCCTTTATCTGTCGGACACCAGGAAAACATTTGGAGCTCTGTGAGCAACCTGGACGTGCTGAACATCCCAGTGGGGTCCTGAGTGCCAGGGGATGCTGAGCACCCTGTAGGTGTCCTGTTGGGTGTCTCTGGGTGCTCAGCTGCAGCAGGGGCTCCATAACTGAGCTCTGCCTGGTAATTAAACCCAGGTGTTTGCAGTTGTAATTAAGGAGCCCATATAAGGAGGGTGGGGCCGGGCTGGTGCTGTGCCCTGGAGGATGGGAGAGCTGCTGTGGTGGGGGTTTGGTCCTCTCTGCTGGCCCTGGTGAGTGCTCTGTGCTTTTTGTGCCTTTATTTGTTGGTTTATTTACCGTTTGTGACTGAGTTTTCTCCTGCTGCTTCCCTGGCACTTCAGCTTTCCTCGTTATGTGCCAGGGAAAAAGGAATGCTTGGATTTACTGGGGGAGGAGGCTGGGCTGCCCCAGCACTCACCTCTTGCTGTTGTGGGTGTTGTGTTGGTGTTTTCAGTGGCAGGTTCAGTGCAATTTGGGTATTACAGCTCCTCTTCCCTGGAATTAAGGCAGGCACCTTGGAATGTTATCCTTGGTGCTTTCTTTGTTCCTGGAGGATCTCAAAGTGCTGCTGAGCCGAGCCTGTGGCTCACCCAGCCTGGGACTGTGCTGGGTCCTTGGGATGAGTCCCCCTCCAGCAATGACTTCAGTGCGGTGAAAATGGGTTTGCTTTTCATAATTTGGGAGGCAAATGCAGTGCTGGGGAGGGCTGGGGGGACGGTGCCTCTCCCCAGGATGCCAGAAGTGATGCTGAATGTTCCTCAGGAATTCCCTGCTGGGGTGGATGGCTGGAGCTGGGTGTGCTCTCAGGGGGTCTGTGCTGAGGAGCACGTGCTGACCCAGTGCTTGGGCTCTGGAGTTTGGAGTGAGTGGGAGTTCTGGTTCCTGTGTTTCCAATTCCAGGGAGTCTGTGTTTGCTGCAAACAAAGCTGCAGGGGTGAGGGGTGTTTTGGGGTGTGTTCTGACTGGAAGAAGGCAGCAGTTGTTTGGTTTATCTTGTTGGGAGCAGTTTGCTGCAGCACATCCCCAGCCCCTCTCCGTGGTGGCAGCAGCACAAAGGAGCTTCCCTTCTCCAAAGGGAAGGACTGGGATGTAAAATCCTGCTCTTGCAGGTCTGGGTTTGGGTGCTGGATTTTTGGGAGCCTTGCAGGGGCTGTGGGAGGGCTGAAAGCACCACACCCCAATTAGAGCTAAGGAGCCCCAGCTGGGCTGGGTGGGGTGACCTGGTGTTATCCAGAGCAGAAACACCTGGGGCTGCAGCTGTCATGGATTCATGG